ATACTTCTTGCAGAGTCCGAAGTGGATGCATCGTAGGACCTCATTGTATCTTCTAGTACTGTTGTGATGTAACATTCGCACTGCGTTGCTAGATGTTCCACCATCTTCATTTGTTCTCTACAACGTTTGCACATACCTTTCTCAGCTCCAAACATATTTCTATCTTGGAGGTAACAGACTGTGTTCATCTTAAGGGGTTATGTTTTCCGTATCGAAGCCATTTTGATGAATCAACTATGGACGAGATTTTATTCGTCCGCATTTTGTACAGATTTTCATGGTGAGTTTTCTTTTCTATTTCGCTATACAGGAACGCCTTCTGGGCTGCTAATACGTTTTCAACGGTAGGAATTTCTGCGAGGTTATACTGAGTCTTCAGATAAGGTACAATAATTGCTAATTACATGTTATGAGCTTTCTCCTGCTTCAGAATCGCTGCCATCCTGGTACAAATTGGTGAACATTATGAAGTCGATGTCCTAGCACGTCCCTTGGCAGGTACAGTCTTTTCAAGCATGCAGGTTGCTTGTGAATTCCGTATTTGATTAGTAACCGTTGATATCGTGGCTATAGCCATAAAGTCTTTTGGCTCCAGCTTGAGCACCCCGACTTAATAATTTATTAAACTTATGGCGTGCTCATTCACTGCCTTGATAAAGTTCTTGCATTTAGTGCAGTTTTAGCTAATCGCTCAATTCTCACTAAAATCTCTGCTCGGACTTTACCATAGCTTTCACGGGTGGGTGCACTAGTTCTGTCTTCCACTATTCCAGGGTATTTAAACCCTTGAGTTTCTTGCAATAGCGTTACTTTATCAGCGTATACTTCAGTGTTAGTAGCTGACTTTGCTGAATTTACTTCTAGCTCTACCATATCATGAAAGCTTCCAACTTCTTCTGCCATAAATTTCATGATATCCTCGTCGGTCGCAAAGATCTTGAGGTCATCCACAAACAATAGGTGATTCGTAATGTGTATTCCTTGATCAGTTGGAACCGTCACCTTTGGGTACCTCATATTGAACCGACGGTTCAACGGGTTATACGCAGGACGAATAGCAGCCGAGAAAGGCTATTACCTTGGAGAATTCTTCGTCCTATTTTCTTCTCCATTAAGTTCCTCCATTGCTATTGCTTTTCAATGTAACCGACCATTTGAAAGTGATGCTTCTCAGAAACCTGCTGATCGACGATGGCATGTTAAGCCTTTTGATGCACTTAATCAGGTATTCATGATTACCTGAATCGAACGCTTTTTTTATGTCATACCATGTAGTGTAAAGCTGGTTTCCGTGCTCTTTGCGAACCGCCAGGTTCAACATTGCTTGTTCTTTCGCACCTTAAACCTGGGAAATAGTTCCTAATTGATTGTCTGCAAGCAGCTTGCTCATGGCAACATCTAACTGCATAACGCGTGCCACACATTTTGTAGTTATCTTAAAAGATTCGACATACAAATATTGGCCTGAAGTCACTCACTGCCTTTACTTAGGACACCTTTTGGAATCAGGTAAATAGTACCTTTATAGAACCACGGATCCTGTTCCTTCTTACTATTTTTTACAGGTCTGGATGCAAGGAGGTGCACTTCTTAATAAAGAAGTTATAAACTCCATAAGGCCCTGTCGCTTTCCAAATAGGCAAATAGGAGGCTATCTTCCCAAATTCGGCTTCAGAAGGAAAAGTATGATACACTTCATCACCTGGAACGAATTCTTCCACATATTCGTTGTGGCGGATATCATCATACTTTCCCATTCCGGAGTTTTACATCGTACCCCAAAATCCCTGTATTTCTCAGTGCTTACATTGTGTCTTACCGGCTGTTCTTCAGTCTATATATATATATATAAAGCAAGCTAAAATAATGATCTGAGCATATTGAAAAATGTGACTGTTTCAGTGTTTTAAACTCAAATAATAGATCAAAAGATTGCCAGTTACGCTATTAACTTGTTTTTAATCCAATAATCATACTTCACTGATGCGTCTAATTTCCTGGCAGCATAATCATGAACATGGAAATCACAAGAACCAGCGACGGTATCCACCAATATATTGTCTCCAAGACCCAACGAACTCATGTCATCGCTTGAACCTATTTCAGAAAATCTAAATTTCATTTCAAGAATTAAAATAACAGACCAATTTGAGTTACCATCACACAAAATACCAATTTTTTAAATTCCTTATGTATACTCTTGAGATATTAATTTATATAATATAAAATTTGCAACTGTCAAAGTTAACAAAACTTTATTCTTAAATGAATATTATGTTTTTTAACCTGTATTATCGGACGAATAACTCAGGCAAGTTTTACTGCATATTTCATCAGGGCTGAAAAAATCAAGCTGAAAACTGAATATCCGGTGTTCGAAATGAGTGTTTTTTTCAATCAGTTTTTCACCCCAAATATTTAGAAAGGTACGAGTATTACAATAGACCACTGAAGTCAAAGCTTAATACAGTTTTATTGATGAAGTAATAGGACTTATATTACTTTATTAATAAAACTAGTATAATTATTAAAAACTACGGAATTCATCCATCTAGCTTTCTAAAATGGTGCACTTACTTCGGAAGAAAAAAACTTATCGTGTAACTACTAACCTCCCACGAAATGTACATATTCCGAAGTTAGATTTTTCTTCATTATCTTCGAGCAGTTTTTCATCAGACACATTATCAACCTGAAAGATGTGATGAACTTGCATTTTTTGAGTAAGAAGACAAACATTGTCAATTCTGTTAAAATATTTTTTTTCTGATATAATTTTTATTGAAATAGTTGATCACATGAAGATGATGAATACTACACAAATTTTAAGAACAGGATTATCATTCCCAGTTTCTGCTTTGCACTTCTCTTTCTATAACGGCACTTTCAGTATCCCACATACTCATTTCCCATCCTCACTCTCCTCAACTTCAGTACGAATTTTCGTATCTACCCGTATTTGACTTTTTTCCATAAATATAATTACTACTAGCCGTTTCATCCTGCTTTGCGATGTAATTCAATTCTTCCTTTTCACTCGTTTCCGATTCCGATGATTTGCTGTCGTAATCCAAAATTCCACATGTATTCTAAAATGTTATATAATAGGAACCGATGACAAAAGATTATCAATTAATTCTTGAGATAAGTGTTACACAAAAAAAGTCATGCGAAGTTTGATTTGTCAAGAAAAACAGACCTAACTTCGCCAACCAGAACCATCAATCGATAGACAAAATATAGGAAATGTCACTGAATATTATTAAACTAAAAATTTTCAAACATTTCTCACTTCACTTATTACTTCGCAGTTGTCTGCATCATATACCACTTGTCGTTTCTGCTGCTCACAGCGACGTTTCTCCTCCAACTTTGTCTTCAAACTCACTTGCATGAGTGTACGTTGAGAAACTGAAAGTATTGAAATTATGTAACATTAAGATGTTCCCTATTACACCAGAGTTCCATAATAATAAAAATTAAAAAAGCAGAATAATATCCACTTACTGGACTGGTCACGAGTAGATATCCATTTTTTTCTGAAAAAAAGATATTTAGAAAATCACGCACGCACGCACACATTTTGTTCCAATCATTTGAAAACTTTTGATGAAAATAAATCACCGGTTACATCAAAACTTACCGACAACGATTAACACCAGATGATCCAAATTTGTTCAGAAACCAACGATCGTTAGGGCTTCTCTTCTCCTTGAAATAAAAGTTGCAAAAAGAATGAAACTGTTCAACATTCAATTTTAAGCCTTGTAACGTAAATTCTTCAATTTATTTGACATCAAACCAAAGAATCTAATTGTGATGTAATGTAGTAAGAACTTACAGTATATTAAACTTACATATGCAGTTTTCCTTCTCATCCTCATCTTTTCTACAAAAACACTAACAATCTAATCTTGAGAAAATTAGCAAATTTCTTGTAGTGCACTAATTTTTTTCCCAAACAATATCTAAAAATACCATTACCTCAAATTAAGACTATTTAATTTCACAGCTCTGTGTTTAGAAAAGGTGTATTTTCGTAGAACTTTCAGTCTACAATCACGATCAAAAATCAAAAGTTGAGTTACAGTTAAACTTACTTCATCTGTAGCAAGATCAATGACATCTCTACGCTTCATACATGGAACCTTTCCCAATGCTTTCGATAAAAACTTATTTGCATTTAACTGATCAGTTTTTTTTTCTGTATGCAGACTTTTGATCTCAGTTTCTTGCGTACATACATCTGTTTCATGAACAGTTTCTCCCGAATTTGATAATGAGTCATTAGTCCTCAAGGATGGCGCATTTTCTTCTAAACAGCTGCTAGCCAGTGACAGAAGTTTATCTGCGTTTACATCAGTGAATGAGAGATCTTCAACATCCGGATGTGTAGAAATCTTCAAGCACGTGTCATTTATCATGTTTAAGAGTATGTGGTACCTAAAATACGCTGCTGATTGGTTATTTTTTTTAATCTCTATGAACTCTACTGAAACAATTCAATTTGGATTTCAAATACAACAGTGAAACCTTGAAAATGTTAACACTCACACTTTTTCATAACTTTTAACAAAGAAGACAGCAGTCTTTCTAGATACTATCCAAGTATTGTGTTAACTATCCACGCTACAGAGCACAGTCCGTAATGATATAAATTTGTAAAAAAATAAATGTCGTGGCTTTACAGTGAAGTTTTTGCTGATTATAAATAACTCCAAAAATTTGTCACCATATCTTAAGGTACAATAATGTAATGAAGTGATTTATGTAAAACAGTACGTGTTAAGTACCACATGAAGTACATTTATATTTAAAAATAAGTAATAACTATTAGATCAATAACTTTTTACTTATAATATGAGTACATTATTATATAACTTTACGACCGGTAATTCTCATGAAAAACTAATTACAACATTCTACCCAGCTTGGTATAGCACCATTTCAACTTACGTAACAAGTCATAATTTTGAAAAAGAGACACTCTCGTCGTTAAAGTGCTTGCAGGAGAAAGGTTTATAGCAACATCTTAATACAAAATGTGTCCTGAATGTGATTTTGAAAAGATATTATTCAAATTGTATATTGCATTGCAATCTTTTTCTCCGGTCTTAAACAGAACGCACAATAAGGAAAAAGTTAAGCCCTAAAATTGTAGTGGCATTACTAAACACCCTTAAATCATTGCGAAGCTGTGTTGTACGTGCAGTGGTTTGTTTCTTAAGTCGTTCTATACGTCAACGTTACATTTGGAATTGTGATATCTGCGACGATTGGACGCAAGTAGGACTAATAAAATGGTTAGTAATTATCTTTGTATACGCATTGAAATGTAAGCTTTCTGATGTATTCACGGATCTTCACGGAAGATCTCTTTGGCATGATGTAAGCTTGCACTGCTTTGGAACGTATGACATTTTTTTGATTAGAAAGTTTGTAGACTATAAAATTGCAAAAAATTCGTGCATGTTCAACTGAAATCGTTTGCACTAGATTGATGCTATTAAAATGCTTGTGTTGAGTTGGTGCAAGCTGAGTTTGAAAGTAGTCGATATTGAATTTAAGAGATAAGATTTAGATTTTCTCATTAGGTGCAACGAGAATGACCCCATTTTTGAGCGATGGCTTAGCGTAGTTTTCGTATCATTTCATTCTCTGTTTAGGTGTTTAGCCCATTTTTACAATCCTCAAGCTTTAACTCAAAGCGCTATCTAAATTCTGATTTTTTATGAATTTTGAGAGTGTTTAGTTACTTTATGTTGGTTTTATGACGCTAAAATACCAATGTGTCTAGTGAATTCATCTTAGTGCTTTTTGAGATGCACCCATCCTTGATATTACACCATAGCTCGTGCCAAATTATGTCTAACATATTCCTACAGTCATTAAAAAAGTAATTTTGTAACATTGTGGGGGAGATTTTCTCATTGTATGGGTTCTTCAAGAATTATTCCTATAATTTTAGGTTAATTTTACGATAGAAGAAATCCGTGGTATAATGGACCACAAAAAAAATATCAGGAATATGTCCGTTATTGCTCATGTTGATCATGGTTCGTTGATTATGCTTTTTTGTTTGTTAGGTGAAATTCGATGGGATAAAATATTTCAATTTTGGTAAATGTATGTCATCGATTATGAAATTAAAGGCAAATCAACGCTGACTGATTCTTTGGTATCCAAAGCTGGTATAATCGCTGGAGCTAAAGCTGGCGAAACTCGTTTTACAGACACACGTAAGGATGAGCAAGAACGTTGTATCACGATAAAATCAACGTGAGTTTTATATCCTTTAGTCTTTTTATATCTTTCATACTATATTTTTCATTTTGATTACAAACTTTGCTACATTGCTGGACATTTTTACAGGGCGATTTCTCTATTCTTCGAGTTGGAATCAAAAGATCTAGCCTTTGTTAAGGGTGATAATCAAGTGGAAATTAATACAGTAGGTGGTAAACCGGAGAAACTTCGAGGTTTCTTGATTAATTTGATTGATTCTCCTGGTCACGTTGATTTCTCTAGTGAAGTAAGTTATATTCACTATCATTTAGCTGCATTTCAGTGTGCTCATTTTATTGTCATTAAAAATCATTTTCTCGGCATTGGGTCTAATATAAGCCTGTATAAAGCACATCGATTTAAATATCTAAGATGTTGATTAATTTATTATTCCAGGTCACTGCCGCTCTTCGTGTCACCGATGGAGCTCTTGTTGTTGTTGATTGTGTCTCTGGTGAGTGTTGTATTTCAGCATGCAGTAGTCGACTTTATCGAAATGATTTTATTATTGCAGTATATCATAGAAAACGAAAACGATTTGAACACTGCTAACAATTTTTCTGTTTTCTAGTCAAAATTCATTTAATACATTGTTTTTAATTAAATTACTGTGAAATCCATTGTTAAATTAAATCAGATCAAATCCAGTTTTACGGCAACGGTTTTAATATGCTTATTGCACTTGTTAAGCAGAAAAAAAGATTGCACATCATTGAATTCTTCTACGCAAACGAAAAATCATGTGACGTCGTAAATTTGTTTTATATTATTTATAGGTGTGTGCGTCCAAACAGAAACAGTTTTACGTCAGGCAATTGCTGAGCGTATTAAGCCTATTTTGTTTATGAACAAGATGGATCGTGCTTTGTTAGAATTACAGCTGGGAGCTGAAGAGCTCTATCAAACGTTTCAACGTATTGTGGAGAATATTAATGTTATTATTGCTACTTATGGTGATGATGACGGTCCTATGGGACAAATTATGGTTGATCCTGCAGTCGGCAATGTTGGATTTGGTTCTGGATTACATGGCTGGGCATTTACACTAAAGCAGTTTGCAGAGATTTATGCCGAGAAGTTCGGTGTCCAAGTAAGTTTATTTAACTATTTACTGTTGATACTCATGCGGTCAAGCTTCAAATCAAACCGCGGATAAGTGTAATTTTAGGTTGATAAACTGATGCGTAATCTTTGGGGTGATCGTTTCTTCAATATGAAGACTAAAAAGTGGTCGTCAGTGCAAGATGGAGATAGTAAACGTGGGTTTGTACAGTTTGTATTAGATCCTATTTTCAAAGTATTCGATGCCGTGATGAATGTGAAGAAGGATGAAACAGCTAAGTTGGTTCAAAAACTTGGTATTAAACTAGCAAATGACGAAAAAGATCTCGAAGGAAAACCATTAATGAAGGTAATTCAAATTTCATGGAAAATAGTATTTCAGTTATTTCATTTAATAAGATTTATGTTGATTATAAAATTGTGTGCTTTATAACTGTTCCAACGTCATGGTTCATTTGATTATTCTGTTCTTCGAATGTGTCCATGTTTTGAAATTTAGGTTCTAATGCGCAAATGGTTGCCAGCTGGTGATACCATGCTGCAAATGATCTGCATACATTTACCTTCTCCAGTTACCGCTCAAAAATATAGAATGGAATTGTTGTATGAAGGACCTCATGACGATGAAGCTGCTGTAGCAATCAGAAATTGCGATCCAAATGGTCCTTTGATGATGTATGTATCGAAGATGGTGCCTACATCTGATAAAGGACGCTTTTATGCATTTGGACGTGTATTTTCTGGAAAAGTATGTCTTGTGGTTCAGAAATTTAGAATCAGAATTCATGCTTCAAAAAATATTCAGAATGTAATGCCTGTAACAGAAATTGGAGTTAGTCTTGTTCATAGATCATGGACTATGGATCAATTTCCATATGCAGTTATTGCAACTATAATTTGTCTTTCGCGAGGCAGAGTCGACTTTATGGATTGGCATATTACAGGTTGCGACGGGAATGAAGGCAAGAATTCAGGGACCAAATTATGTGCCAGGAAAAAAAGAGGATTTGTATGAAAAAACTATCCAACGTACGATTTTGATGATGGGTCGTTATGTGGAACCAATTGAAGATATTCCTTCTGGCAATATAGCTGGTCTCGTAGGTGTTGACCAATATCTTGTCAAGGGTGGCACAATAACTACTTTTAAGGATGCCCACAATCTGCGTGTTATGAAATTCTCTGTGTCGCCAGTTGTTCGAGTCGCTGTAGAACCTAAAAATGCTGGCGATTTACCTAAATTGGTATCAGTTTCTGACTTCACACTTTGGTTCCTGGCTACATATTGTGGTCAACTGCAATCATTAATTTTCAATTTATTTGTTTCGAAAGCTTTACGAATTTAAAACAGTGTAATTTATATGTTGCGCTGTGATTTTGTTACTAGGTGACGGAACTTGGCTTGTTTATTAGTTATGATACTTTGTGCGAAAACAAATGAATCAGATCAATAATCTGTTGTCTTTTTATTAAGGTGGAAGGATTAAAACGTCTGGCTAAATCTGATCCTATGGTGCAGTGCATTTTCGAAGAATCTGGTGAACATATTATTGCTGGTGCTGGAGAACTTCATTTAGAGATCTGTTTGAAGGATTTGGAAGAAGACCATGCCTGTATACCTATCAAAAAATCTGATCCTGTTGTATCTTATCGAGAAACTGTTATTGAGGAGTCAGAACTAATGTGCCTTTCGAAATCACCTAATAAGCATAATCGTTTGTTTGCAAAAGCAGTGCCGATGCCTGATGGTCTTGCTGACGATATCGATAAGGGAGAGATTAACGCTCGTGATGAAATGAAGGTAAGTTCTACTTATTTCAGTGATTATATATTCAGTCCTTTTGAGAGTGTTTTCAATTATATCATATGTATTTGAAATCTAGGCACGTGCCAAAACATTGGCTGAGAAGTATGATTACGATGTAACCGAAGCAAGAAAAATATGGTGTTTTGGTCCAGATGGCACTGGTGCAAATATTTTGGTAGATGTCACCAAGGGAGTGCAATACTTGAACGAAATTAAGGATTCCGTTGTTGCTGGTTTTCAGTGGGCTACAAAAGAAGGCGTTCTATGCGATGAGAATATGCGAGGTCCATATTCTTTGATTTTTTTAGTCCTTTTTGAGCCATTTAAAGTGATCTTTGGATTAATGTTATCTGTGCACCTTCTAGGTGTGCGTTTCAATATTCATGATGCAACTTTACACGTCGATGCGATCCATAGAGGGGGCGGTCAAATTATTCCTACAGCACGTCGTGTTTTGTATGCTTCTGTGTTAACAGCTCAACCACGCTTACTTGAACCTGTCTATCTCGTAGAAATCCAGTGTCCTGAAAATGCTGTAGGAGGTTGGCTGTATTTTCATATTCATTACTTCAGTCATTTTATTGTCAAGATCTACTTCACTTTAATTATTCGTTCTTTATGTTTAGATTTATCAGATTATTTTTCACTGAATTATGTTCCATGCTTGCATCTACCTCACTGTAACTGTTGGAAATATCGCAAGTTTTAGGCATTTACGGTGTTTTGAATCGAAGACGTGGCCATGTATTCGAAGAGTCACAGATAGCTGGCACTCCAATGTTCGTCGTGAAAGCATATTTACCCGTCAATGAGTCTTTCGGTTTGTTGGATTAGTTTTTGGTTTTTCGCAAATTATTCAAAGGAATCTGGTCGCAACTGTGTCTTGCACAGTGGGAAGTTCATAATAGTTTTGGATGACTGCAGGCACCAGTAAATGTACAGAATTTCGGTACATCTTAAGTTTTTTTGAAAAATGTATTAAGCAAAATTGCAGGCTTTACTGCCGATCTTCGCTCTAATACGGGTGGTCAAGCATTCCCCCAGTGTGTCTTTGATCATTGGCAAGTGCTTCAAGGTAATCCCTTAGAACCAAACACAAAACCAGCTCAAATAGTGGCTGAAATCCGTAAACGTAAAGGTTTGAAAGAGCAGATACCAGGATTGGATTCTTTCTTGGATAAGATGTAATTCATAATTCACAATTATGAAAACATAGTTGCTTCCTTTCTTTTTCTGATTGTCCTGCAAAATTTTAATGTTTGGTTTCCATCGATTGCCATGCAGTTAAATTCATGTTACATAAGCATTGATTCCCCAGGACTTTTAATGATTTCTGTCTCTGTCCTTCTGTGTCTTTACTTTACGCAATGCTCATAATTTGATATTACTATTGGAAAGTCTGAGCTATGGTTTTTGAAGTTTTTGCTTCTGAGGAATTTTTGTCTGAATGGTAACATTTCAGTTCTGTTTCAGTTTTTTTACTGGGGTATCCAGGTGTCAGATCATGTTTTTTGAGTTCTTTTGCAGTAATTTTTTTGAATGAAGCTTTTATCACGGGAGTTTCATCACGTGGGAGAGAGGGGAAATATTTTCATTATTTCCTTTTACTTTTGTTTTTGTTATGCTGCAATTTTTCTTTGTTGAATAAATAAATATCAACAGTTGTTGGGTGCTGCTGGCATGTCAAATAAGCTTTTTGGTGCAGATCGTAAAAAATTTTGGAAGCATATGAACATTTCTGAATGTTGTGGTGCTGTTGTAATATTTATTACCAAACTGTGAAGTTTGTTTTGGATTCTATAGGACAGGCAGTTTGCGTTGTATTTGTGTTGCAATAGCTAGGGAAAAATGGAAATACAGGAATGGCGTTGCTAATACTTCCGTTGCAGTTTGCTACATGTCCAGATTGTGTTGGTGCTTGGTATGTTACAGCGGAAAGGGTGTAAAGAATTTGTCCCAGTCGGAGGTAAGAGGTGTAGTCACAAAAGAGAAGTGGTGTATGCTTTGGGATCTTAATAATTTGCATGAGGGATAATTCCAGATATAATACGATTTCGCTTTTAGTACTGTGGGGACAATACTGTAAGACTAAGCATCTAACTAAATTCGTATATGCTCAAATATTTATTCATGCTTATGCATATTTAGTCATAGCATGATCAGTCACCTATATTCATGATGCATTTAGGTTTGTACTTGAGTGTCGTTGACTTGATTTGATTATGGACTTCCAGTGTGTATTATCATTCGAGTTATCTGAGTGCTTTTGCATATTTTAGTTATAATGACACCACAATTATACTGTTAACTTCATATTGTAAATAAATGTTATTAATTAAATGGCGTAAAGGAATTATTTGTTCTTCTTGCAATTCATTGCTTTTACTGTAATTCCGATTGCTTATGCTTATATTTCTGATGAATAAAGAAAAATTCATAAACGTATCTCACTTAGAGCATTTGTTTGCTGTGCTTCATTAAATTTGCATTACTTGATGATGCACTTATCACTTCTTGCATGAGTGAGTTGAGGTATTAAAAGCGCTACTTGTTTTTGAATATGGAATGGAAACACGGATTAGCGATCGGACTTAGAGCAGGGAATGTGTAGAAGTATTCATTCGATTAGGTAATGCTATAATTTAGGTGTTAAGTAATCTGTATGGTCATTAAGGACAGTTGGGAGTTGATGTGCTTCCCTGTAGTACTTAGATTATCCACTTCTTTTCATACAAATATTGTCCATGATGCATTTAGGTTCTCGCATGAGTTGATAAATCAGTATTTTATCTTAATGTTACACACATTTATGCGACGTGCATGTTTTTCATAGCATTGAAATTATTTGTATGCACTGTTCCGCTAAACTTGTAATTTCAGTATTAATTCTAGTCTGTACTGAAATCTAATGTACTTCGATGCTTCAAGTCTGTCCACAAAAGATTTTGTAAGTTTTGCTTTTCTTCCTGGAAATATAAATGTCATCTTATCAGTGATCACTTCTGCAAAAAAAAGAAGGATTACTCTTAGAAATCAGAATCTGAAAGTAATGCAAAAGTTTCGAATTTTAATTTCTGAGAATTTCACTTGAAAGTTCATTGTTAATTATATTACAAATTTAATTCCTACGGGTATTCACACAGTTGACAGCTAATTTCGTTTTGTGAATACATATTGTTGAGATTTTATTTTTTTCTTTACAACTGTCTTTTGCACAATTATTGCAGTTCAGTAGCCATAGTGATGGTGATAATAATATTACTAATAGGACTAATAATAATAATAATAATAATAATATTACGATATTACTGCTAACTACTTTTATAAAGTGGTCATATAGCAGTAACATCGCAGTTACATTAGGTGTGATTTCATTATTATCATTGTTATTACTGCGATGTAAATGTGATCAATCTACATATTAATAATCCTATCAGTAATGTTTAACATACTTTGCAGATAGTCTGGAAAGCATTTGTCTAGTTAATCTTTATATATCTTCATTGGTCTTTATCAGTGTATCTAACCATGCATTACTCCTTCTTTGGCAATATTCTGTTTGTGGTCATTTATTATTGCAATATTGTCGTAAGTTCAAGGATACCTTTTTCAATGTTTTATGAATTGAACTTAATTATATTAAAGAGAGGGATACGATATTTAAGTGTATAAATTAGCTTTGCATTACATATATTTAAATTGGAAGTGAACACGAGTAACGATTTTACAAGTGAAAGGTCTCATACATTCTGTGAAATTTGGTTTCTTTTTTTTTCGAACTTTGTTTTTTAACAAATTGTTTTTCAAGTTTAGATCAAGATATTACAAAATGAAATTGATGGTCCATTTTTTTCATGCATATTATTACAAATATCTTGTATTTTGCATTTTTTCAGAAGGTAAAAGAAACATGAGCGTTAGGATTTTAAATAGTTATATCAAACTCGAGCAAAGTAGTAAAAAAGCTGTCGCTGTTAATTACGTTTTGTAGGCATCACGGGGATATTATGATTCCAGTTTTGCTTATCTTTTTGTAAAAAATGAAAAAACACAGAAGGAACAAAGATTCTGCGTTAATTTTGAGCAGTGGCGTACACAACGTATAGCAGAGGATGTAAATGATGCTGTGAGCTTACGTTTCAAAAATATTTGATTTTGCTTACACTGTTTCTATTAAATATTGTGCCACAGTCTATTTTTTAACTAAATTTAATTACCACAGATTATATTATTCTTGTACTTAGTAATTTTACCGCTTCTAATTTAGTACAGTATAAATAATTAGTAACAAAATCATGTTGAAAGTAGTTGTATTTTGTGTACCTGACTCTAAGTTCTTGCATTTAGGAAGTTCTTCGACTTGGGTGGTGGGGCGAAGTTGTCAACAATACCAATGTTTGCAACACAGGAAAAAAATCGTTATTGGCTAAAAAAGCAGTTGCCTTACATTATCGTCTGGAGGCAAAAGATGGACATTGTGCGCTACCATTTATTGTCACTAATACAAGCTTTAAAGGAGCTTTACAATATCAAGTACTTTGCCATACTCATGCCTTAAGAATTGATTTACAGATCCCTAATTTTTTTATTTATGTCTTCCGTTTTTTGTGGTATAAAGCATCTAAATCAAGAAATTTGAAACTTGCTAGATTTTTGGCCTTTTGCTGGAGTATTTTTTTCGCTCTCGTAATCATTCTTGTCAAGGATGACTTCTTTTTTCCATTTCATTGGTTTGTATATTGCAGTTGTACTTCGTATGTCTGATTAATTTTATACGTGAACATCTTTTAGGTTAACCAGTTGGCCTCAAAACATGTTAGTGCTGGTATCATTCTTGTTGACAAAGGCCGTAAATTCATGAGTAAATGGGCAGATTATTTGGTATGCTATTTCGTGTTGATTTAAATAAAGTAATAATTTCTTTGCACTTTAAGCTACAAATAATTTTCTGCACGTAAATTTTAATTTTGAATTAAATCTTTTTAACATGCACGTTTCTGCCATAGACTTAAAAAGTTTGAACACTTTCATGAATACATTCTGTTTTCAGTTTTCCGAGTTCTATGATCCAGATTTCAACCAATCTACTGAACTGCCAACATTCTTCATGTATAGACACATATTTTTTGAAGAATTGATGGTAACGCGTTTATCTTAGAACTACGAATAATTAACAACATCATCCTTCTTCCCATCTCAAAATCAGTACAGATCAGTCATGTACACTATCATTACGTTATTTAATGCGACAACTGTCTGTACTGAGTTTGACTTTTTTTTACAAAAATAGTGACACATTATCTCTCGTACTACTTTATTTTGAGAGCGCACTAATTAGACTTTTTTTATCTCAAGGCACAGCATATTTTAGAAGCTAAGTATCGATGGTACGGGAAGTGAATTACTGCTGCAATTCTATCGACCCAGAAACTCAAAATGGGATTTATCGATGTTAATTATTTGGGTTATTGCTGTATTTTGTGTAACAGTTGGTGGCTATTGGGCTGCTATTCGAAAAGTGTTCGTTTTTTAACTTCATTTGAAATTTTAGCCTGAATATATCATTTCTAAACAGCTATCTAAAAATAGTGTGCAATAAGTATGCTATATACAGTTAATTCAGCTCCTCGCAATACCTAACACTGATATTCAAGCTTGTATAGAAATTAATAATAAAAAAAGAGACAGTTATGTTACTAATTAAGAAAATAATACTCAATCCCCTTTTTCTCTATGCAGATCCAATTTGATGGTAATCATATTTTTTTCCGCAAATTTAATTGAAAATCATCCGTTCAAATAAACTATTTAAATTTTTTAATCAAAATTTCAGTTAGTAATTGTCTTCATTTTGCTTAAACTCGTCTTCTATTCTCAACTTATTTTTTTCAGTTTATTAAACATTGCTTGATAGTCAAAAAAATTGTGAAATTATCAGTTACGAGCAAATCACTATTCAGTGAATATAAAAGATTAAAGTTTGTGATTTATCATGTTTCAGATATGAAGAGAAAACTAATACTTTATCGGATCAGGTTTCGGCGATCGAAACTGGTGTACAAAAGTCTAAAGATTGTTTTAGTGATGATCGGTTGTCAGCGCCCGCAAACTGCTTATTTATTTTCATTGTGATGGTTGTTGTCGTTGGTATTCTAATGCTTGGTTTCTATTTTCGAAGTATAATGGGTAAGGAGAAAATTAAATTAATATAAACAGTTATTTATTGGGAAATGGTTCACAATACCATGTTTTATATTCTGTTTGACTTCTGCCCCTATCACTTTATTTTTAAAAATTCGAAGTCTTTGAAGATGAATGCTTATTTTTATAGAATGTTTGATGCCTTAAATAGCACTTTTCCAGTTTAAAGATGAAGTATTTTGACGAAAATTGCTAGAGAAAATACTGCATATTTTTATATTGTTTCAGTGTTTATTTTCAACATAATACTCGCAGTTATCGGTACGTTTAGTATTTTTCGTTGCTCAACAGCTTTATTTGGATCATTGTGCAAATGTGGTCAATGTAGGGTAAGCATATTGGTAGATAATGCAATCCTGAAATTAAGTCACAGTGTTGAATAAGAGGGTATCAATTATTGAGATATCTTCAATATTACTGACCGTTAAATTTCTTACCTGTATTAAGAAGACTTCAGAGACATGAATATTTTCTGAGTCCCACTATAAGATTTAAGGTATTACGGTAAGAAACTGCAATAAAAAAATTGACGTTTAATTATTCTTTTTTGCGTATAAAGTCAAAAATTTTCTTACTGCTTGATTATTACTCGAAATAATATTGATTTCCTAGTTTTGATTTTTTGATTTTGTTATACATTATTGAATCTGTTTGTCATTGAATGATATATTTTTTTAAGATTTGTATTTCCATGAATGATATAACGCGATCAATATTCCGCCGTGACTTGTTCAATTATGAGTGTTGTTCTGAACGTCCACGTGTGATGTCAATGGGGTTATTCTTTTGTGCAACATTATTATGCGTCATGTGGTTCATAATTCGACGTGACCCCTATTCGTTTATTTTGCTTGACCTTATCAACGTCGCTGTTTGCATACATGTTTTAAAAGGAATACGCTTTCCAAATTTAAAGGTGAAATACTTTGAAAAGCCGTTGCCAAAAAAAAGTATTTTTAAACAAAATTCATTTGGTTTTTTGGTGTCTAGAAAGCAATATCAAAATGTTGTCAAATTTTGAAGTTATTTCAGAACATTTATTAGATTTTTATTGTCGTTGATATATTCATATTTTTCCAGTGGTTAACAGTTCTTCTCTCTTGTATGTTCGCATATGATATGTTTATGGTTTTCATTACACCGCTTTTGACTAAAAATGGATGTTCAGTAATGGTCGAGGTAGGTATCGAATATATGATGTGTAACGTTTTAATATGTGATATAGTGTTCTCTCCTTAACTGTTTATTATTTATAATTGGCTTTTAGGTAGCAGCTGGTACAGATTGTTCAAAAGCAAACACAGGTTACCCAGTGGCACCCATCAATAGTAATTTGCCAGAAAAAGTAATACTAATTTGAAAATAAAAGCCTTTACATTTGAATTCTGCCTTAATAATATGAAATTAAGAGGCTAGCCATTTCAAAATCAAGTTAATTAATATAGTTGTAGTTTCCAATGCTTTTCCAAGTGCCACGAATTAGTGATCCAATGATTTCTTGTTTTGATCTGAATATTGAAAAGGAATTTCATCCTGTAATTCTTGGATTAGGTGATGTTATAGTACCTGGTTAGTTTTTTCATTGTTCTGGAGAATTTTTCCACTTAATTTTTTGATGAATATGTGCTTTGATCATGTGATTTTTCTATCATTCATTTAACATATATCTATCTTTTGAAATCATACTTTTTAAAGTTAATATCTTAGTAATTTATTCATCTTTCTATCTTTTTATAGGTTATTTAGTCAGTTTTTGTTTTACTGTTGATTTTGCTGCTCGGACTCGTTATATTTATGGTGCAATTTCAATTCTTGGTTTGTTTCTGTGATACTTTACTGTTTCCGTGTTTATATAATATATTTGTGACTTTCAATTGATCTTTTACAAAAGTAGAATTAATCTTGTGCTTCTTTCAGGTTATGGAATTGGTCTCATAGTAACATTTATTGCTTTGACACTAATGCAAACTGCACAGCCTGCTCTGATTTATTTGATACCTTCTACGTTGGCGCCCATTTTTATACTTGCCCTATTACGAGGAGAGTTGAAACTTGTGTGGAATGGAAATTTTAAGGAACAAGAGGTTAAGAAACATTTTCAGACCTTTTTTTCGAATTTATTCTCTGGTACTCTGATATGGAATATATAATATCTAATAGAATAGTTTCGATTTCAAACTTAAAACAGTAAAGTTACTCGTTTTGTTTGTTTCTCTTATTGCAGTGATTAATTAGCTACATCAGGATGATTGACTTCAATCATTTTCACATATCTTTCGAGGTATTTTAGCGATTTATCTCGTAAAAAATTTCACACTTAATTATACCATGGGAATTACTCTTATTTGGCTCTATCAGCATCTCTTTGTAATGTTATTCTTAAAGCTTTATTACGAATTTATTATTCTGACACTTTCTTTTCTTAGTTTTTCATTTTTAGATATTATCTCACGTTTCGGAGATTTCCACAGCAGCTTCAGCTGGAAACGGTCGAAATTGAAGTTGCACTGTTGAAAATTTTCCATCCTCGCCAACACCATCCCACAATTTTAATGGAAGGCAGTTATGATACTTCTTATGAAAAATGTAATATTTAATTGATTTTTTGTACGGTTTTTCAATTTTGAGTGATTTTGTGTTGCTTGTAAACGGTTCTTTTCTCGTTTGCCGGTCATAATAATCGTTTTTTTGTCTTGTCTCTTTCAATTTTTTTCTTCATATCTTTTAATTGTTTTTTGTTTTATTCAATTTCTTATCATATCTTTCAAAAATTATGATCCAGATTTTCAAATTTTTTAATAATGTTCTTGAATATGTATATTTAATAATAATTATCATTTTTTTAATTATTAAATATCACATATTTTCTTAGTAATCATTTTTTCAAGTTACTGGATTTAAAAAAAAAAATGCTCGGATAGATATTTTTCAAACTATACTGCAAAATTTTCATGAACTATTGTACTAACACGCTTATTTTTAGTGAAATATTTGTATCATTAGAAATTATGCATAGTATATGTTGTCTGGGCATTTTACTTGGAAATATGAGATGATATTTTTTTAGGTTTTTACACTTTTCTTAGTCTATTATCAGATGATGGATATGTAAATTTAGGGATATTTGTGTTGACTTTAAGATAGTATTGGTATTGCTTAGCGCGTAGATTTTAGTGTTAAGGTTTCGAGTGAAATATTAAATGTATTAAGTTATATGTTGTGGTTACATATTTATGCTTGATTTTATTCACTGATATAAATATTGTGAATCTTTAGCTTGTTACATGTACTCCAACTTTATTTGCCTCTTCCCTTTTATTAGCTTTCGATTAATATAACTTGATATGCTGTATGAATGAAGTTGATATACTTTTTCTACTGCTTTTTCTGTAGATTAAATGAAAACTTTACTTTCGTCATTACTGCATGAGGTACATCAGTGTACGCTACAGCTTCTCGTCATTTCTACTTATACATTATCATGACCGGAATTTTCTATTATGTGAAGTTATTCACATTATTACACCTATTTGCATAACATCAGTTTTGCATTCAAAATAGTGATGTTCAAATCCAATCTTGATTTTTGTATATCGCTTGCGGAAACAAAAATTTTATTTGTGCGGTTAATTACATTTTCAAAATTATTCAGTATTAGGACTGAGTTTTTCAGTTTACGAAACTCGTTAAAAACCTTACTGTAAAAAAAGTAATCTTCACCTTTCAGAAGTCATAATTAGCTGTAATCTTCAGTAATTCAGTGTTATTTCACTTGTAGTTTACTTTTTAATTGTGTCTAACTACTTGAATGATTAAATGACGGATTGTTTGCAGACAGTTATTATTTTCCTCATTTATTGGATGAATAGAAGACTACAGATGAGCTTGTTCTAAAAATGAGGATATTATCTTTAAGTTATGTCTCACAGATACGTTTTCATACAGCTTGATGTACAGAATTTTCTTAAGATACTGTGATTTGTATAGAGTGGGAGTGTATAGCATCATACGTAGAATCGCGATGAAAATCCACGTTTGTAGCGGCCGATTTTATGTCTGCACATGGGACATATATGGATGTAATCAGCAAAACAGGACATGTAACACGGAAGTGGTGCACATGGCCACATGAATAATAGCACGAATATGGCGAGCCAAATATATGCGAATAATCCAACCACGGCAAACGTTTCAGTTTTTACTAAATTCTGCAATTTGAATATGCAAATGGGCTGGACGTGCAGGGATAAATTTCGTCTACAAGTTCATTTCTTATTTCAGTAATATTCATCAATTAATTTGCACAATAAAATGCTTGATCACTCTCTATGAGTATTGTCGCATTTTTAAGCAAAATGAAAAATGTAAGAATTCGCTCATCTGTTGATTTTAACTGATAATTCAAGTACTTGACAGTTTGTATTATCCTGAGATGATGGCATGCTGATAAAATTGGCATATACGAAAATGAAACAAATAGCTGTTTGAATGATGCATATGAAAATTTTTTGAAGCATTTATAAGGTTTTTTTGAATCTGTTTAAACTATGAATAGTGCACAAGAATCAGTTACTTGCAGTTTAAAACGGTTCGTAGAGATAAGATGAGCAATGACTGATTTTAAGTAAAGCAGAAAATTGTTACTCACTATTTCAATTAAAATCAGAAGCAGTAGAGATTATTGGTAGCTACGTTTGAAAACGAATACTTAAACATTACAACTAGTAATTATTCCATTGCATTAGTATGCTGTACTTGATATTACTTACAAATAGTATTTAGGAATTACTCATTATTTTATTGCAATGGCCACAAATTTTCTGTTATCTTCCTGAAGTTGGAGATTCAGGTGATTGATTTCGAAACAATAACAATGTAAAGTTAACTTACTCGACAACGGCTGCAGTAAACAAGCAGCCTTCTCTGGCCAAAGTTAAGATTTGTATGGTGGATGCTCCTTTGAAATGACGGTTTGTCAGTATGCTGAAAACAATAGCATTACTTGTTAAATTTAGTCAGGACGTCATTTATTTCTAAATTCAAAGCGACTTTCTGAAGCACACACTTTCTTCTGATGAGGATGTTTGTATGGTTGTCACATTAACTAGAACTGACGTGTTTGCTTGCTTGTGCAAAATGCTAAGAAATTTTCCAGTAAGTTTCATTTCAGTAATTACAGTACTCCTCTTCACATTTTACTATCAAAATTAATTTTCATTTCCGTTGTTGAATTCAATTTCACTTCTTTGCTTGCTTTAAATGTTTAGTGAATTTGAGATTTTTTCTCATGTTTAGAACTCGATAATTGATTTTTACAGTATGAAAATTTTTCCAGTTTTAATTCGTCGACTTCTTGTAAAAAATAAACATTCAATCAAAAAATTTTGATTACTGTTATCCCTAGCAAAACAGATTTTAGCAGCTTTCTAACCATTTGATCACTGTGTAAAATATTCTGTGATTTCATATTTCTCTTACGCCTGGTAAAAGCACGCCATTTACGTGCAAAACGAAGTGCTAAATCTCGCTTTTTCCTGAAAAACAAAAAATATACGAAAATTTAGTGCCAGCATTGACTTCAGAAATGTGAAGGAAACATGCTATCTTGCTTGTCTTGATCTTCATTGAGCCTTTCGTTGGTTGAAGGTTTTTTTCGGTGTAAAAAAAGATTATAACAGTACCTCTTTGTAAAAACAAAATCTTTGAAAGTTCGAAATTCTGTAGTGAAGTGGAAATTGAAAATAATAAAATTATACTTGTAGAAAAACAAAAGCAACAATCATGGATCTTGATTTCTGCATATGTGTAGAAGTGTTAAATGAAGGATGAAGTGATTCAGCTGAACTACATGGGTAGAAAGGTATGACATTCATTTTGGCATAACAAATAGACGAGATTTGGGTAAAACTGACTTTTTTTCCACTTTTTTGCGATCATAACGAATTTCCGCGAAAATTAGAAGAGAGCTGACGATAATTCCTCCGGTAACAAGAATAAATACATCTGCAAATTAGCAATCACTTTATGCATAATCTTTTAAATCAAAAAGTTTCGCTAAGTGCCAACTCAAATTATGCTTATTTAAAAAAGACAGTAAATGATTTTAAAATAAACGTGGACATAAAGTTTCTCTCTCCTCCTGCGGTTTGTAGTACCAAGTTTTAGAGGAGGACTTCACAAGCATTTGTTCAAATCTTATACTTTTTTGAAATCAATTCAATTGCAACAAACAAAACAACCTCTCATATTTGCAAAACCGAGTCGGGCTGGTGATTTCTGTGTTTCCGGTTCACACTGGTTCTGATGATTTAAAGCTACCCACTTAGTGTACAATTCTTCCAACTTTCCACCTCAGCAAAAATTCGAGTCATATTGCTTGTTTATATGCTTATCAAATTATTCAAAAGTATACTCTAAATGACTCACTTCATTTACTTTTTTAAAAAACAAAAAATTATTTTTATTTCAACTCAAAAAATATGAAATGCATTCGAAACGATGTCTAGTTTTAATTTCTACTTTTACTATGATTATTATTGCTTATGAAAAGTAATGATACTTTCGATAAGTCTCAGCACTGCATTGGTAATATGAGATGTCCAAGGTGAATTTTTTTGTAAACCAACGCCATACGCTGATCGGCCAAAGAGTGTTCCGCGTGTTCGTAGTTCGCAATTTTTCGCAGCTTCAAACTCTAATCTAGTTGAATCCCAAATAAAAGCATCCAGTGTTCTGTCAACAAAATATTACTTTTGTACTTCGGTAAAGGTTTTTATGCTTCACAATCACAAAATTGTTCCTTGTATTTTCAATTTACAGCTTTTTGCAATTTCAGGATACCAAAAAAGTAGTGATGACTAAGTGCAAGTTTATTATAGAGCTGAAAAATAAAATAAAAATGAGTACTCGTTTATCAACGCTTGGATTGCGTGTGCAGCCACACGCACATTGTGTGCTTCCATGTTACGATGCATTGTTGATAATTCAACATGTCGTTTGAAGTACTGATATGTGTTTGTGTCCAAAACTGTTGCAAATGAAAAATTTGCTGATGGATTTCGAAGCTGCAATTTATTTTTCTTAAATAACTGATAAGTTGTTCTCAGATTGTTCTCTCAAATTTAATCTGTTCAAGTGGTTGATGCAAAATTATGAAAAAAATCAGTTTGTTCATTGTTCAATCCCTAAATTTCAATTATTAGCTAAAGCGTATTTCGAGTATGAATTCGCACAGAATTTGCTGTATACATACTTCAGTGAAGATTTTTATACTTCATAATCACAAAATTCAATTCTCATTTTCATTTCATCAATATTTTTGAACATTTAGATGAGTCCATGGACTTTAAGATGCTTGAAATTAATTTCTATTTGGAAGAATTTCATATATCTCTTTAACAATCTTGTAATAAGACAGAATAAAAGTTTGAGTCTTCAAATGCTTTTCGTTCTAATAAGTTTTCAGGATAAACGTAATCGTAAAAATTAATATTAAAAGTTGCAGTTATTCATTTCAGGTCAAACGTCACATTTAAAAAAATTATTGGTGATTTCGGTGGAAATAAATTCCATTTTAGGCCAAAAATGGCAGTGAAATAAAAGGTTAAAATAATGATTTTCTACGTTTTACCAAATCACCGATAATTTTTTTGGCATCTGCTTTCCTCGTAGAACAATTAGGTACTGAAAAGACAGCTCACGGCATATTGGATGAATATTCAAAATTTATGTCCAAAATTAGTATCAGCATATAATTTTTCATGGTTTCAAAAAACTATCGTGAATTTCGACACCGAAAAAACCTTTTGAGGTATTACTTGCTCTAAAAAATATAATGTAGTTACTCTTGGATCATTAACGCCAGTTAATCCTTTTTCCGGTTGATCTAAAACAAGAAATGCTGCAAGATTAGCTGTATATGATGCTACCATAATCATACAAAATCCACACCAAACAATGCCGAGAACTCGAGCACTACAACTGCGAGGAGTTTCTGTAAAAAAAAGGTTTCATTCAAATAAAAAGTAAAATTTAATTTAATTGTACAGCTATAATGGGAATGATTACAGTAATAAATGATGACAAGTCAATCAAGTATATATAGACTTACTTTCAACCACTCCACTATTGAGTAAAACACCTGAGACAAACCATAAAGCTTCTCCCAAAGTAACTCGTCTATTATCGGTTTGTTGGTAGTGATAAGTTTGGTGCAACTGATCAAAAGGTGAGCAAAAATCAAGCAGAAATATGAAACAACCGATGAACATAACGGATATTAGTAAGGCAGTCCATAGACTCGTTTTCAATGGTTGCACAAATGATTCCATTGAAGAGTCTCGAGGTTTCTGTACTTACATCTGTTTAATCAAATTTAATTCCATCTTTTTTAGCCAAAATTATTCATTAATGAAAAGTCAGTTTTACTCGAAAGTGATCAGAATTTTTTGTCTAAGCGATCTATGCAAACGTGACACTTGCTTTTATTAACAAAACTGAAACCTAAAAATACCCATTTTTCCAAGATTCTAATTCCATGATACAGCCATGGTTCCGAGAAATCAATATATTTTTCACGTTCTACGTTTATAGTAAGTGCGCCTATGGCTAAGTCTGCAAGATCTGTATCTAACTCTCCAACCATACCACTCAGTGTGTAACCGATTTCACCAAGTGTTGCAGTACCGTATGTATCATTCAAATGAATATCAAATGTGAATCCCGTATCAATGATACCATTATCCTGGTGATAAATTAACAAAAATAATTGATAAGAGTAAAAAAGCAATTAAACATTTGTCATATATTATCAGTACTCAGCAACTTTTTAAAATGCCTACTTCTTTAGACATACTGTGTCAAAAGATGCAACTCAGTACATTTTTAAATTCTCCTAAAATGTATTACTCATTTTTTAATGCTTTTTTTTCATATTACTTAGCAAGATATTGAAGAATGGTAGCTCTTTTAATAATTGGTTTAATGTTATACAACAAAACTTTCTTTCTCATTCTTAAGTATGTAGTCTCATATTATAACAATTATAGTTCACAGTAATTATTTGGAATGATAATTACCAGTTATAACTATCATGAGACTGAACAATGCATTCATAGAATACTAAGTAATGATGAGCTAGCTTAATCTCTCACTACGCCTGTATAACTTTCCAAGCAATTACATATTACGGTAAGCATTATTTTACTAACTTATACAATAATAGCTATTTTATCAAAATTTACTTGTGGTAGAGATAAATAAAACAGCAAATCAATGGCATAGCCTGCACAACAGTACTTGTCAATGGTACTTTCATTGATGCGTTTCGAGCAATTGTACCATGGCCCAGCCTAACATTGAATCTTTTTTGTAATTATTGTTGGCAAAATTTGTCAGCAAAGAATACCTTCAAGTTATACAACTTTGTCTCAATTTTTAGTGTTTTGAATCTAAGCAAAAAATTCACATACGTGAAAAAAACTGAAAACTAATTAGCATATATGGTAAGTCATTACGTTATTAATTATTAAATCCGTGCGTCATTCTGAACTAACTCTGACTCTGACCACAATTGAATTTATTAAAGATTACACAACGATGAAATAATTCATAAATAAATGTGGATAATTTAGGCAAATGCTTTAATATTTCAAAAGATATTTCCGATTATTTCAAAACTGACTACCCAAATGCTGTAGAAGCCTTGGCTTGATTATCTAAAATTATTATTTGTCATGAATGAAAGTCGTAGAAGAAATAATAATATTAAGTGTGTATTGCATTCAATTTAATTTAAAAAGATTTTCCTAAAGATCTTTTTGAATTTAATTCTTATTCATCTATTTGAAATACCATATTAGGCTGTGTAAACGCTTGAATCTCATATCTCATAGCAATTAATTGCTTTCTGATAACCTTACTACTTACCACATCAATGTCATCCACAATTGTATTACCCAATTCTGAACAGTTTGTCAGTTCTGTTATTGGAATTACATAAACAAACGGTGCATCAGCCACTGTAACCACACGTAAATATTTAGCGAGCGTAATTTCAGATGGTTTTATAGAATTTCCTAACCAAATAATTTGAGTTTCATTCAAAATCATTGCGTTGTCAGAATTCTGCAAAATGCATCTAATTTTTCTGTTTTTTAACATTTTGTTTCTTATTAATCTTTTTATTTATAAATTAAACTAGCAAATTATTATAGCTTTATCATAGCTATAAAGTTGTGAATGCAACCTGTGAATAAACAGAAAATTTTATGATGCATACGCTTACTTCATATCACTTAACTAATCTACAAATTGTAAAAATTTCCATTACAAATTTGCAGTAAAAGTAAGTCCAATCTTTCATATCAAATCTTGCTGAGACTTACAAATATTTTTCCACTGAAACTATGATCTAACTGCTAGAACATACCATATAGCCAACTGTGTGAAATTTCCCTTCCACGTAATTAATGACATCATAGGCAACGTTAAGACGTTCGCCTTCATTGTTAAATTCAATTTTGTAGTCATCATATACAACAGACGATATCAAATGTCTGAAAAATGTTAAAGCACACTATGCCTATTCATTCAAAATGAATGTGTTTTATGGGAAAATCCAACGAGTAAAAATTTTTTTGGCATCAATTTCAGACTAAACTGAGAAATGGAATTTTATTCTTTGTAAAACTAAAAATTACAAAAATCGAAACTTTTCCGTGTAGAAAATTACATCAAATTCTGTTTATTTCATTAAGGGAAATTGTTACTCAAATTAAGAAATGCGCTAAAGTTAACTTTTCAAAAGTTAATTAAAGTATTCAATTACTTATAAAATCGAATTCCAAAGCCATTGATCCATTTGCTATTTGCTACAATGTTTTCGCAAAGTTGAGGGGGTTGTACTTCACGGTCTGACAGAAATGCAAAACTGTGACGTACAACTAACAATGCTTCACGCAAAGCACTAAGTGATGTTTGGCGTAGTCTTGTTGACAAGCATCCTACTATTGTAATACAACCATATTGTTCAGAATAAATGAATAATTTGCATAAATATCAATTTATTGAGTCCTTCCCTCTGACAATTCCAATGCGATGTAATGCTATTCGGTAAACAGTTGTCGATTATTAAAAAAGCATTTCACTTTTTGATAATAAAAATCATTTAATTAAAAGATAAAGTAAGGAAAAAAATTGAATTGAAATTATTTTTGGTTGAAATATTCACTCAAAACTTTGCTCAAAATACCACACTGTAATCTGTGATCAAAGTTCTGCGAATCACAGTCACAGAGGGTCACCTGATGGTAGATTGGAGATATCTGTTGCTAACTGATTTACTATGCAAACTTTTCCTGGCGCTGATAATATTCGTATTGTCTCGAATATCTTTTGCGCAGCATTCTTTCTATGTTTAATTGAGCATAAGATATGAAATAACTTTTAGAAAAAAACATATGGAAGGGCTGAATTGGTAATAAATTTCTGCTGCCTTCGGTTTTCTAATCGCATAAAATCTCCTCTACCATAATGGTATGGTAATTTTATTTCTGATCATGCATTGTTATTGTTAATTACTGATCATCTAATGTTATATTCATGCAAGTTTGGCAAGACCAAACGTTCACTATTAATTCTCGACAAGTAAATGATAAATTATATTCAAAAATATACTACTTTTTAATTAAATATATAAAGTAACTAACTTGGCAAATAAAATAATAACATTGGATGTAATTCCTTCGAAGTACTCATCGATTGTGGTATCATTGATTAGCGAATTCAATTCCAATTCAATGTATTTTTGCACCTCAAACATTTTTATGCAATCTTACCATCTTTTTGAATCTTAACACTATTCATGCTATTATTTTTCTAGTCTTCTTGTTGCTGTCAGTGATAATAATATGAAGATAGTTATATTTATTATTGTTATTGTTGCCATAACTCTATAAATAGTAAAATCAAGCTATTTAGAAGATTCAAATGAAATATTTCTGGACGATACCATTTGCGTGAAATGTACTTATAATTCCAGAAATTTGATTTATTTTGTCATTTAAATACTTTAATGATAAATTGAAAAATATATTCTAGCAATGCTCTTTAAAAGAAAAAAGTAATTAATTACGTGAATCTCAAATTGCTGTCGATTTTCTTCGAAGACATTCACGAAGTCCAATGCGTCTACATCGCCTTTCACGTAAACAATTACTGTTTGACGGTATGCAAGTTTAGCAAGCAAACGTAATATCACATGTGCTTCGTTACTGTGCGATGGAGATGTGCGCATAAATGTGGGATAAATGATCTGAACATTTGTAGATAAACGTTTTGCCAGGAGCAACTATTTTATTGTAGAGAGCCATTATCCGCTTTATTTGTCATTCTTTAGCTTAAAACGCAAGTATGCTTGCTTCTTAAAAAATTAATAAAAAATTAAGAATATTTAAGTTGTAACTTTTCTAGAAAACTCAGCATCTCGAAGACCGATTCCTATGGTTGGTATGCGGTAAAATCCAAGAGCATAAGCAGCTGTAGACGATACCTCTGTGGTACAGTCAGATTCATGATGATATAAAAGCACTGCTACTGAACCATTCAATAGCTTACCACATACTACGTTACGGGTCACGTAAAGTCGATTAGGTATTCTGTGATAATTAATTGTAAAAGTTTGGGAATTTGTGATATTTCATAAAAATATAAAAATCTCTTATATTTGGAGATAACTTATTAGAAAATAGTTGAAAGTTCAAAAATTTCACTTCAATATCATTTCTGATTTCATACAAATGATTGAGAAAACTGAGTGTCACTGAAGTGAGTACAGATTTCTTGAAATGTGTTGCTATTCTTGTAAGTGCAGACATTCTAGATGCAGCTAGTACTTTTAACAAAAATGTAAACCACTGCACACCTCTCGCAATGTCCAGCATCGACGAGTTGAACATCCAAGTTATTGCTGTTCGTACCATTCGACCTTTCCAAGTCATCATCTAATATTTTATCAACTGCATACTAAAATAACAAAACTTTTCCGCTTCATCTTCATCATATGATTAATCTTTTTGCTGCTAGATAATATATATTTACAGCTTTTAATATTTTTTATTAAATTTTTTAATCATCATGAAGGTAACCTTTGACATTTTCTGATCTTCTAAATAGATCATTTAGTTTACTCTAAAATACTACAAATTTATTTTCAAGGATCAGAAGGCATAAGCCAATATTCAGTTTAATTAGCTATTAAGCGTCTAATCTTGCATAAAATTCTACGTTAATGAAATGTATTAATAACTTATCTGAACTTTACTTGCAACGGTTTGAAATGATTCACGTGCTGTTTGAATTAATATTGAAATTTTCGTTCTGTTCAAAGTAGCATTACAAACTTGCAAAAGAAAAGTGAAAGACGTAAATGCAAGAAGACTGATAAACGTGTGATGAAGAAGGTGGCACATCAGTCTAATATTCCAGAAAGTCTGCTGAAAAAACAAGCATTCATTTGTTTGTATAAAATTTTCACCATAAGTAATGTGACAGGAAGTAATTGGAAAATTAAAATAAATCTATGAAATGTGAAAGAATGTGAGTTCATCAATTTGAAATATATTCAGTTATGCTTAAAAAGCAAAACTTCAGCAAATTCTCTTAGACAGATTGAATTTAACCAAACAAGTATGTGACGAAGTCCCACGTCCCACGCAGTGCCAACAAATAAATGTCTGAATGCATTTCGCTGCTTCCATGCATGGTGCATAGTTGTTCGATTTTGCAGTGCTCCAAATTACTTTTTAATATCAAATTTTTTACTATAAAATAAAATTATTTTAGCATCTCAACTAACTCCCAAAAGGCTTTTATGCACATTGTTACTTATTTTTTCTTCTGCGCTTATATTCAGTAAATTAAATTAAGCATACAGCCACTGCATTCAAGTAAACTCAGGGGCCTACGCTATGCATTTCGTTGTATTTACTTTTTGATGAATTTCATTAAAAAGATTTGATATCTTGGTATATTCTAATATTCCAATTAGCTCATATCTTTCTGCTTCCAATATACTTCCCTCATCCTTCTGTCAGTTCTACTTTATATCATTTGTGGTTTTTTCAAAGTTCAAAAGAGCATCATGACTTTTATATGCTGGCAATTAGTGTCTTGAGAACTGCATAAAAAATTAACCCTATGTGTTTGAAAATCTTCTTCCAATTCAAGTGACTGCTATTCAACATGTGGTTTCATAGAACTCTAATCATTCGCTTCGATCGCTTATTTTTTCTTCTAATTTTGAGCTTGAGCTTTGAAGCTTGTTGTGATATTTAGAATAATAAGTTAATAGTTCATCAGATTCAGATTATTTACTAAATTAAAAAAAGTTCAGACTTGACACATCCATTTTACGTGCTCGATGTATTCATTTCACACTTGCTTATCGAAGCCCAATCTAATTGCTATTAAACTGAAGTAGCAACTAGACTGTGCTTCCATTTTCTCTGACGAAGAATCGTGTCATTACTTCAATGCTTATCTCAATCTCATTCACTATCATTGATAGTTAATATCTGTCTTGCTGATTTTGACAACTGCTTCAAACATTTCCACTTTTTTTCCAATAATTTGTGATTATTCTATGCCAAAAAGTTTTTCCTGCATCTCATCAAATGAATAAACGATAACAACGAAGGATATAAATCAAATCAAATCATTATATTTTTTAATTTGTTATGAAAAATGATCAACTTATTAGGGCCAGGAATGATTTGAAAGGAAAGTTAAGGCTTTAATCTTCACTCTACTTTACACACATAAGTGACCTTTAACTTTCTGTAGCAAGCAATGCCGAAATTATGTTGGTTTAATCTTTTGAGATGACATTTCGGTCACTCTGCATTTGTGTTACATTTGGCGCGCTTCACAAATTATATTCGAAATTGATCATTCTTCATAATTTACATCCATTTCACGTGCTCTACGCATCCACTTTATATTTGCTTAATATATTTGATACGAGTAATTTCATCAGCAGTTATAAATTGATCTGAGATAAAGACTAACGCCTTCGCAACCTATGTTGAATGTTAGTAGCTAACAACGTGCAGCATTTATTGTCACAAATAATGCAAGATTAGCTGCCTGTATTTGTGTTTGATTAAGTTTCAACTCCGAATCATTCACCTTCAGATCTGAGTTTATAAGATGTGTCATTACCATACTGCATTTCACTGTGGTCATGTATTTTATCTGCTCCCCACTTACTATATTAAGCCATAACTCATTTATTTGCTAGCAAAGTAAACTTCACAGTTACTGTCACTCAAATTTGCTACTCCAATTAGAATTTGAAGTTAGACACTTCTACTTTATTCCAGTTTCCTTTATAACTTTCGTGATTTTCTTATTCATCTACAGTTGTTTGTGATTATATTTCTAATCGTTGCTTTTTTTAGCTTCCATTGCATCATTGAAAATATCAAAATCCATATAGAAGTGCCATATTTAGCCTGAAGTCTAAAGTAATGACACCAGAGCAGTGTGAATTTCTTGCTGGCAATGAACTAATTCAAGTATACTGCATTCCCATTAATAAACTTAAGACTGCTGATTACCAACATATTGATCAATATGTTGCGTCTCTGAACACTCAGAATTATTTCATAGACGGTATTCAATTCACTAAGCAAGTACCAGAACTCAGTTCTTTATTACTTCCAGATTACGCCGCAGTTTAACCTGGACAAGCTGAATCTAATTAGCGGTGACATTGGACCATTTGAAGCTGGCATGCCTGTATGGGTACCAATTTGGGTGGCAGTTACTTTAAGGAAGCGTCGGAAGTGCACGATCATTGTTAGTATTTTATTTTTGAAAACTACTTCCCTGTGGTACAAAATGAAGTTCCTACAAAAACACCGATCTAGAATACTTTCATGCTTCGAAAAAAATTATAAGTACTCCACATTACATCCCAACTTTAATTTACGTACTTGTCAGCCTCCAGAATGGCTATGCGTGGATGAATTGAAGAAGCTTGTGACAGCCGAAAGTGAGATGAAGGCTTTTGGAGAAGTGCCACGCTTCTATTTGGAAATAGCACACATGTTCATTGAACATGCCAAAGAAGATTTGCCGAACAGTGACATGGTTTGATTTGCCGACATCTCAAATTTTTTTGATTTTTCCTGATACTCACTAAAATTATAACCTTTACCTACGGATTTTAAAGCCAACACGAAAATTAGATGCAAGATGTTTCATACAATCTTTGTGTTTCATACACAATCTGCAGTCACAGTATTAAATTCTACAATTTCGAAAAAAAGTCTCACTTATAATATGCCTATTAAAATTGCTTAGATATGCGCAGAATTCCTTTAAAAAATTATATTGATTTTACAAAAAATTCGTAAAAGCAGAAATAATATCAAGTTTCTGTACGACCGAAGTAGAAGTAGTAGTTCTCTAAATCGACAAAAATTATTTCCTTACAATGATTTTCAGGTACGAATATATATACAAGACTTATGGGATAAACGCTCTGCAAAACTTAACAATTCGTCATCTAAATTTTTGGGACAGGTATAATATAAATTCAAAACTACTAAGTAGCAAACCTCAAACTGAAGGTACAGCACCTAAAAAGAAATGCGTTTATGATAGCACCAATCTCTATTTAATATAAATATTAGGTATCAAATATCATTAAACTACTGGACGTATTGAAACGAACATATAATACATTGTCTCATGTGAATTCTAGTCATACTGAAACATCTTTCTTTTAGCTTCAGATCATTTAAAACATAAAATAAGTAATCGGAAACAAAATGATGAAATAAAAAGACGAAGTGACTTTGGTAGACAAAAATTGAATTCGAAAAAAAAGAACTCAAAAGATTAGAGATTAATATGGCTATTTCACTTCAACGATCGCATGAATTTGGCATAAAAACATGTACCACACAACATCATCGATAGATATTATTATCGACTATTACACTTACGCTTGAGCAAATTTAGATCATATGAATAAGTTAAAAACAAGAAAAGCCTGAGAAAATTAGCATACAATTTCAATTTCTTACACTTAATTTAATATTAGAGATATTAACAATTTGGAATTCTACAAAACAGAATAAGAATCTTCAATCCAATTTTATTTACAGGCTGAGTCGTGTCATGCAAGGATGGATAATATTACACCGATCGAAGTGGCATATATCAAACGATCACTAATCACAGCTACTCGTGAAATTGAAGAGCTTAATACTTCATATCAAGAATTATTATCTAGTCAAGGAAGTAGCGAAATAAGATACGTTGTAGCTTAAAAAAACTGAGATGGTTTATTTATTTCTTAACTACATTCTCATAGGCTGTGATGCTCACTTTGCTTTACATTATAAACTGTATATTCCCCTTTAATAGGCAAAGATACAGTCATAAAACATATTATATTGAAATATAAGAATAAGTTTCTTATCATGTACTACTTACATTCCGCATTCTGGATTTGTTTCCAAAAGTATTTGTAATAGAAAAAACCAAAAATCACTGGTTACACCTCTAGTATTTCTTCATACGTCATTTTCCTCCGTCCGCAATAATCAGTCAAAAAAGACTGGATTATTTCCATTAAAGAGTTTACTGCTACCGGATTGCGAGCTACGATCTTTAGTGCATTTAACATCTGTTCCTCCGTGCAATATCTAAGATTAAATCACAAATGTTGCTTTCAAAATTAGAATGATAAGAGCATGATAAAAAATCAGGCTGATTAACGTTTATAAACCTCGGTATAATTATAAGTGAAAAGAAGCATACCGTTTATTATCTACATAAAACCATGACCTGCATAGGAAATCCGCATAAAAACTACTTTCAAGAATATACCTTGTCAAGCAGCTAATACAAGCGTCTCTTAGTACATTACATTTATCACTTCCAGTGCAAAGGAGTACTTCTAAATAAGTCGGCAATGTCTCACCATTCACCAAATTCCTGATTGGACTTTCTGAATCTAATAGCATAGAACCTATTGAAATACACAGATAGCGATCTGATAGCTAAAATATTTTTTCTTCAGAAGTTTAAAAAAATTTTTGGCTAACCTTTTTCTTATAACTAGTTTTTCAAAAATAATGTAAAGGGCTATAAAAATTCGTAATTGGTGTAGATTGCATTTACGATATTCCTTCCACAGTTAATAATAGCCTATCTTTAGTGAAGACTAGTCAGACCACTTGTTAACTGATTATTTTACCCATTACTTGAGGATTCAATACCGTAAAGTAGTGAAATACCTTTAACAAGGCAGGTATATCGTTGTTGTTCACTTTCACGCATGATCTTCCACAACCACAAATAAAATGTAATAATGTAGTGAATACAAGAAAAGAACACTGTTCTTGTTCTTCATTAAAATCGAACGTATTACGGAACTTCTCCGAAAACCCGCTTTCAAACATACCCTTAACCTAGCTCTTCAATTTTGTCAACAAAATTCTTTTAAGCAAATGTAGTATTTTGAAGATGCATTACGTTACACGACTGTAGTTTACAAATCGACAATGAGATTTTAGTGCACATATTTCCGTACCTAACACACTCAAAAAGTTAGAAAAGCAATTTTTGAAACATTAACGACTGGGATATTTTAATGTACATTCAGGATTAATTATCACTGTTTACCACATTAACATTAAAAGCTCCGCATTCTTTAAAGTTAAAACCACGACTTATTAATGGTATGGTTAAAATCAATTCTAATAAATGATAAAAATCATACACGAAAATACTCGCTTCCTTCACATAAATTCTTTTTCGGAACAACCCTTCTCAATTCCCCACATTTAATCGTAATAAATTCTGATGATTCAGACGAAGCCCGCAAAAGTTTTCCTTGAACCATATTTGGATACTTAAGAGCACATCGATTAAGGGATAACCGCTTGTTTATATATTCAGACATATCACCCCAAATTACGTGTAAGGAACTTGCTAGAACATGTGTTGGAACCAAATATGATAACGCAACCAAAATTTGACGAATCAGTGTTGGCTGAAAATATAAAAACAAATCAATCAAAACAAAAGAAGGTGAAATTTTCGATCCATAAAATCATCTACTTGATAAGAATACTACATAGAATCCGTACTGAATGTGTATATAAAATGTCCTCAAAAATGTTCCGACACATTTCTAAACTTTAGTACTGAAAAATCTCACTAATAGTAAGCAACACTTCACATACAACAATATAGATATGCTTTATATCAACTTTTTTAACTGTCTCACTTTGTTTGCATTATTACGCAGATTTCATAATTCAGTAAATAAACTCTCTCATACAGACCATCCTTCTTTCGATTTAAAAAGTTGGAAAAGCAAGACGAAAAAGACTTGATATGAACATTTTTCGCTATAACTGCTTAAATTTTTTTCCTGCCTCGTGATACTAACATCATAAATCCTGAAAAAATATGAGTGAATAGATACGTACTCCGTTGTTGTATGTAGTAACTTGCCAACTTTTCTTATAGTTATTATCATTCAGCAGTTCTCGCAATTTCAATAGAAGACGCTCAACCGGTTTATGGTACATTAGCATACGCTTCCAATTATCTACTCGTCTGGAAAAACGAGTAATAAAATACATGATTTTTATCAATGGACTATCATCAGATTGACTAATTTTTAGCAAACTTACACTTAATTTTTTTTGTTAATGAAAGAAATAATTTAAGCATAGAAATGAATAATCCTTAAATATTATCATCAATCGGAGTTCCGATTTTTAGTCCACTTTGAACAAGATAAATGGAAATTAAAACAAAAAAGTACCTTACAAGATGCAGTGCAGCTATACAAGCCTTTATGTGCTCAATCTCTTTATTTGATCTAAACATATTTTTTAAAACTTCTAATCCAAATGGTGCATCGATATGTGACGAAAATTCTTCCAGCAATGCAGTGCCGAAATCTTTTCTAATAGCGCAATCTGAGCACAGTGAAACCCGTCTGAATCATATAAATATAACTGAGTAAATATAAATATTAAATTCATTAATTAGTTTTAGTAAAGTTCAATGACTCTTTATCATTTATAACCAGAATCAAACTTCATCACAACCTGGTGTTTTAACAGCTACATTTTAAAACAATACAAAGCATGTGCTGCAAAAAATAAAAATATTTGTACTAGCTCTGACCTACACGTAATGATCATACCTTCCAGTCTGACATTTTCGCATTATCAAAATATGTATCACAAGAGTATGAAGTTCTAAATGAGATAAATTTTCCACGGCTAGGCGATGACGGAAAATTCGCCTAATAGTACGTGGTGCCTTGGAAATCATTGATGGCGCTTCAGCAATATATTTCAATAAAGTACTAACAATCTAAAAAATCATTTAATTCTGTATTGTTAAATTTCTACACGATCAAAAAATGACTTAGAAATTTTTTCCAATCGGCTCAACGGTATTTTATGGAACACTAATCAACTCTATATTAATCGAAAATCTCGTTCTTAATCTCGACTCAAGAAAGCTGAGGCAATTTAAAACCATATCTAAGCTTTTAGCATAGTTAAAGCCTACATAATCTCAAAATTTCAGTATGTTTAAATGAAGAAATATTTAAGATAAGCAGTGTTTTGATCACATAGTCAAATACAGAAAACTGAATAAAAAATCAAGATTTCCAGTAAATAATGCATGGGAAGTACTTGGGATGTAATTAAACGATTCATATTAGATTCGCTGTGCGATAGCCACGCTAATATATATATTTCACCAATCACAAGCTGCAATTAAAATTGTATGGCACAACAGTAAATTTCCGCAAGGTCTTTACCTTAAATCTACTTTTCTGATATTTCATGAATCAGATTCAATCCTTTTAAATTTGCTGTTTTATAATGATAAGTTCACTCACGTTAATATGAATCAAACAATCTTTGCCACAACCAATCATGAAACAGTGGTAAAACATAAAGCACTAAGTTTCATTACCTTCGTTTATTTTGTAGCTATTAGTGAAAGAGCAATACTGATTTCAGTTTCTTATTTACAAAATGAACTATGAAAACCTCTGTATTTTTTGAAGAGTGCTGTGAAGAAAGAGCACAATTATCTTTTGTTGGATCGTTTGTGGATAGTGGATGCTCCATGCATTCAATGTATTCATCAATCAATGACGGGGGTGATCTAAAATATGCAGATTACAAATGTCAACTAATAAATAATAAGAGACAATCTCTGGCAGTGCATATTCACCGAAATACATAACTTTTCTCTATATTCCATTATTCAATAATAAAATAAGCATTACAGCCTAAAGTCATTACAGACTAGCTTGCTTTTTAATTCCCAAAACTTTCTAGTATTAATATATATATATATATGAAAAGAAAGAAAAAACTGAAACGATGATGTCCACTTAGGTGAGTGCTGTGGCGAGCACATTCCAGTAGGTGGTGAATGAGAAGGACTCCATGATGAAAGACATTCGGAAAATACATTTTTAGCCGACAGTAAACTTGATGAAGTACCCGACTTTAAATCTGCAATCCGATTGAACAGGTCGATGGTCGTTTCAGAACGTGACAACATCTGCTAAAGTTTATTATTTTAGTGAATAATAATATACATAAAATGAAAACCTCCAATAACAACAAATAAAGTGCACCACAAAACATTTAACTGAAAACCAAGTCATTTATAAACGATGTTTCTATACTAATCGTCATATACTTCAAATAACAAGGTCAGATTAATCTAGGTTCATTTTAAATCTAATATTCTAATTTTCTCAAGACCATCAACTGAATTAATTGAAGCCCAAAAAGCGGAACTTATAGAGACAGCAAGTACTAGTTACGTCGTAATTATAAATATTTCCTGTACAATGATGTGAAAATGAGAAGAACATCATTCTGAGAGGTGACTATTAACTCTTAATTAAAAGTCAATAAGTTATTCGATACTCTTATGAGAGGAGACTCGAAATGATTTTATATATCCACGGAGTGTGAATGATGTAATTAGATTAGAAACATAAGATTTTTGTCTTACAAAAAATTTAATAAATGAATAACTTACACCACAAGCGCGTTTGTTATTCATAAGAAACAAATTTATGTGATCCACAGCTATGTCCAAGAACTTAGTGGAAAATGCCAAATAGCTTAGTCCACTTCCATCATGAATAAAGTACCTAATATATATCTTATTGAACACAAAATAAATAAAAACAAACATTATCAACAAAGACAGCAAGAAGAAAATAGAGAGGACTTCAGTTTGAGGACAAAAGTATCACTATAATGCTTACTGACTAAAACTGAAAATATTAACCTCGAACTCGATTTTCATAGAGCTATTTCTAATATAAGTCTCGCTTTCGACCTTCTTTATTTGATCAAAATTTTTTGGTTTATTCCAAATACTGCCATGAACATTCATACTAGGAAAATGATAACGTGTGAATTTTAAAATTATAAAGACCTAAGTGTGTTTACTATCAATGACTGTTGCGCAGTATCAGTTGTTTCAAGCCCTTCAACGAGTACATCTATAGCTCCATGCCCACGAAGTGCAGCTCGGCCCCACGCATCCTCAAATTTTTGCAAAGTTTATTTTAATAGCACATCACAACTTGCTTTTTTAACTGATTATTAAACTAATTCATTTTCTCGACTTTTCTTCTTTTTTCGTTTTTATAGTTAAAACAAAAACTGATTAAATCAATGTACTATTCAAAAGTACAATCAATTTTATTTACTGTTTCTCATCGTACTATAAAGTAACTTCCTTACGATTCAAAATGACAATACGTAGCTTTCTACCATTTCTATAATAAAATTCCTTCAGTGAAATATACCTGTGCAAAGCATAATAACATTCTAAGCATGTATTCGGGTCGTGGCTGAGTGTTAACAATTTTAGTTATACAACCTGGACTTTCGAACTTTTCACGAAGTTCAAACGATGCATCGCACAATTCTACGATATAACTTTCATACGTGCCTTTTAGAAAACAATCCAGTAAAACATTCACACCACTGCTGCAACTAGTATATTCAAAAACAATGAATGCTATAAAAACCGTTTCTAACTCACTTTGATTTTTATTGCAGCACATCATAAGGGAAAGTAGAGTGTTGGTCAAGTGTCAACAATGTTATGGAAATTGATAATTTCGCTCTTCAAGTTATGGGTTTGAAAAATAATGAAAGACCGTAGAAAATTGAGAAAATCTCAAACCTTCCTGCTAACTGCCGCCCAATCCGTTTAGTACCTTTGAACCGAACAAAACGGCAGATTAATTGAAGACCAGGCTGACGTACTTCTCGTGCAACTTCTTTTTCCATTTTTTCGGTACGACCCAGTAAATTACCCAAATAAAAGCCAACATTGGATAAAAGTAAACGCTGAAAATATTAACCCTTCATGGATTATTATGATCAGTCATTTAATTCTGCAGAAACAAACGGAATTCCTGGCTTATCATGAGTAGAGTGAAGACGAATAGATGAGAATGCATGATTGCTTTGAAACTATATATATTTGAATATAAATTAAGAATCTGTTAGATCCTAAACCATACTATTACAGACTGTTATCACTTATATGTCACTCGATCTAATAATACCTGCAACTATCACCTTCCTCTTTAAAATGCAAATAATCACATTATTACTTAAAGTAGTTCCGTATCCAGTCCACTTATCAGTTGATGCAACCAACAGCTTCGATCTAAATTTCCAAGACTCACAATAATTGCATTCAGTCCCTAACACCACATTTTACAACTACAGCACAAGCAACAGTGTTACGTGTCTATGCGCCATTTTCATGATGCGTGATTGTGATACTTGTCTAATATTGTTAACAATAAGTGTTGCATGTTAGCACTTAAAGTAGATCTCGTAGACAGGAAATTTTAAAAGAACTAAATAATTCAAGAAGTACGTTGCTCATCCAATGGAAACATTTCATTAAAGTATGTATATATTGCACTTCAAGAAAGTTATATTTTTGCATTACTGATGCTTGCGCTGGATAGTGTTTTGGCACTCTCGTAGTACTTGTCCTCTGTCCGATTTTTTTGTCTTGGTTTCTTCATCCTCGTCAAGTCTACAACGATAATCGAACGAGATGCTCTCAAGCGTATTCTTGAGCACTTTTAATCATCTCTGTTTATTAACTCAAAGTAACTTTGTGTCGCCTCTCGCATGCATCAGGCTACCCGGTTGATCCACACTTATTCTAATTGCTGTTTTAAATCGCGTATTCACTCTTAATCGCCACCGCCCTTCGCAACAATCTCTTGCATGTGTGGAAATGTTTTCTATACTATACTTTAACAGAATCCAAAATAAATGCACCGCAGTATCTCATTATGTCTGGGACAGTCGTGATGTAGTATTTATCGCACTGCCTTGCCAGTTGCTCCACCCCCTTAACGTGCTCTCTACAATGTCGCTGGAGACTTTTCAGCTGGAAACATTTCTATCTTGAGTGTTGCAGTATCGCCGCTCGTCTCGTGAAGTAATGTTTTCGTATTGCAGTCATGTTGATGAATCAGTCACTAAAGACAACTTATTTCTCAGCGTCTTTACAGCTTTGCATGATGGTTTTTTTCTTATCATCGTACTACATCGCTTTATGCGCTGCTAATACATTTTCAGCGGCTTTCTACCAAGGTTGTATCTAGTCTTTAGATAGGGTGCAGCAATTACTAATTATGTTATATATGTATATATATAATAGTGTACAGCAGGTCGGAGGTTAATCTCCTTTTCTGTCTTTTCGATTTTCGCGTTAGATAGTGTTCCAGCACTCTTACTGTACTCGACCGGCAATCCGTTCTGCTGGCTCCGGTACACTAGTCGAGTGTTTTCTAATACCTACACAGAGTTTTTTCTTCAACAGCCTCACGTTTTTTATTTCTTTTTAATTCCGAGCTCTGATTTTTTTCATTTCTCCCTCATTTCTTGCTTTTTGATGCGACTGACTAGTTGACATCTCAAGCGCTCGGCACCTCGGCAGAGCCGAGCAATATATA